GTCTTCTCGGACAGCAGAGGCATTCCGCTCTTGCTCCTTCGAACTGCTTCTCTAAGCTTTGACTTGTAACGTAAAAGCCATGCAATGGTTTTTCTCAATGAGTTCCAACTTGAGTAATGATCTATGACCTTTGAAATTGAGTCTTGGGCAATGACATTGTTAGCACAGACGGTGGAATTTGACTTCACTTCTGGGTCATTTTTTGGTATTTGACCCAGGTCTATCGGTCTCTGAGGCCATTCATTTTCAGATTTCATTAGAAAGTCTGGCCCCTGTTTTCATCGACAATTACTTAAAAGTTCACTACCTGTCATACCTCTTGATGCCTCGTCTGGGTTCAGTGATCCGTCAACGAATTTCCATTGACTTGCTTCACTTTGGTCGAGTATGGTTGAAATTCGATTTGCTACAAAGGTTTGAAACCTTATTTTCCTTATTTTCTAGATAGCGTAGAACGCATGTGCTATTAGTCCAATATGTGGAGCTGTCGATAGGCATCATTAGTTCTTGTTTTATCATTCTGTCCAATCGTGTGGATACGAAAGCTGTTGAAAATTCCATCCTTGGTATATTAATTGACTTTAGAGGAGCTAATCTAGATTTTGCCATTTCAATAGCACAGCATACATCTCCATGTACATTCAACTGGCGTAGTTAGGAAACAGCACCGTATCCATGACTTGATGCATCTGAAAAGTGGTGTAGTTCTCGTTTGACTACGTTTCCAAAGTTAGAGGGCTTGAGACATCTTGGAATAGTGAACTGCTCAAGCTTAGGAAGGTCCTTGAGCCAATCCTCCCATTTTATTCTACTTGCATCTGGAACCTTATCGTCCCATCCTATGCTCCAATGAAGTTACTACCACAGTCAGACCTTATTTGTTTTTCAGGACCTCTGATAGCAAAAAACGTCTTAAGGAATTAATACAAGATACAATCCATGGATTCCAATACCTCTATGTGAACTCCTCTAACAACCATGCAAGTTAATATCGCTGCCCATCTTTTACCATGTGCTTGGCCCCCACGTGTGTGACGAGTTTGTACTAGCCACGGACGGAAAACATCAGCTCCAACAAACGTGGGTGCTGCCGTCAACCATTCCTTTGGGAGGCCTGTCATGACCTGGGTCTCGAATCTGCCTCTGAGCTTTTTGCAGATGACACACTGCAGTACAATCTTAGAAATGTAGTGTCTGCCACCTATGACCCAGTACCCTTCATTTCGTACGGAGCCTAAAGTAGAGTGCCGACCTTGGTGTCGGCATAGCTGATGACAGTATTGTATTATGGTATCAGTAACATGGTTGTTTTTAGGCAAGATGATTGGGTGCATATGTTTATCCACAATATCTGCATTGGCAAGCCAACCTCCTACCCTGACAATTCCTTCCTGATCTAGATATGGATTAAGTCTGATAAGGCAATTGTTCGCCGGTAGCTTACCAGTGCCTGTCCTAAGGTGGGTGATTTCGTCATGGAACAACTCATTCTGCACACTCTTAATATTGAGCCTCTTTGCTGCCTGCATTTCTGTTGGTGTTTTCGGCTTCTCACAAATGTGCCAACCTAATTGGCACTTGTCTTCTTTAACTTGTTTGCATGAGCGAACAACATGCGTCAGATTCGCTATGGCACGAACCATTCCTTTCCAACTCGAAAATCGTTCGAACCTTCCAGATTTTAGTGTTTGTGATATGGCCAACTTATTACATGTTACTTCTCTGCGAACTTCAGGATCATTTTCTAACTCGATGGATTCATCTTGCACACTATCACTTGCACCACTGGTGACTTGGCGAAGGAACGCAGGCCCCATCAGCCAACGAGAACGATGTAAATCCGAAGCTCTTACCGATCTTGTTGCTTCATCGGCAGGATTTAAATCAGTCCGAACGTAATTCCATTGTTTGGCTGTAGTGAATTGCAAAATTCTGGCCAATCGGTTGGCAACATACGTATAGACCCTTCGTCCTTTATTGCGTATATAGCCCAGGACTACCTTACTGTTGGTGTAGTAGTAAGTTTCATGTACTGCAAGACTGAGTTCATCCAGGACCGCTGCAGCTAGATCGACTGCAAGAACAGCACCGCATAATTCAAGACGAGGAACGGATGTAGCTGATTTTGGTGCTAATTTTGCTTTTCCCGCCACGAAGCTCAGATAAATTTTACCTTCTTCATAGCTTGTTCTTAAGTAGCACACTGCTCCTACAGCTTTATTTGATGCGTCTGATAAGACATGCAACTCTCGTCTTGTTGCCTCGATGACTGGCATTAACGTATATGGCCTGGCTACACTTAGATTGGAAAGTGAACTTAGCGACTCTCTCCATTTGTTCCATCTAGATAAGATATCCTGAGGTAGAGGATCGTCCCAATCAATATCGTCACCTTGTGTCATCTTTCTCAACAATGCATTGCCTTCTATTGTCACTGGTGCGGCAAATTGCAGCGGGTCAAACACACTGTTTATTTCTGATAGCACTCTTCTCTTGGTGTTAGGCCGGTCCATAGTGTCTGATACCTTAAAGGTGGACGAGTCTGTGGATACATTCCAATACACACCTAATGACCGCTGAAGTGCTGCATCGTTATCTGGGTCCCATTCTCTAAGATCTGGGACTATACCGTCTTGATCAAAGGCCTCAAGGACTTCTTTGCTACTAGAGACAATCTTGTGAAGCCTGATGTTGGCAGTTGCGAGCATGGCCTTTGTTCGGCGTAACAAATCTATCGCTTGATCCAACCGACTTGAGACCAACGTCGACATAAATGTTTGCATCAACAAAACCTCTAGCTTCTTCTCCAAATTGTGACCTGCCTTGCTCTGCTGTCTTACGCAACCCAAATGTGGCCACGGCTGGTAACGGTTTGTTTCCAAAAATGTGGACTTTCATTTGGTAGGTCACAACCTCTTCAGCAGGGTCGTTATTCCTGTACCATAAGAACCTTAGAAAGTCTCTGTGGTTCCCACTGACTTTAAACGAGTAAAACATCTGTTCGAAGTCTGCCATGATGGGAACGACATCTCACAAGAACCCTGTGTAAAGTGTTGACCAGGTCAGGTCCACTCAGGAGAACATCATTCAATGAGATACCTTTACTTTCCGTACTCGATTCGAAAACAACCTGTATTTTCTCAGGCTTTTTTGGGTGATAAATTCCGAAATGTGGAAGATACCAACACTCCAACTGCCTCTCTTCTTTACTATCGTTTACTGCTTCGGCATGTCCTCGCTCCATAATCATCCCCATAAACTCAAAATAATCCTGCTTCATCTTGGGCCGCTTTTTAAAGCTATGTATTAGTGACTGCAGTCATTTACGGGCTTCAGGTTTGTTATTCGATAGTACATATTGCAACCTTTTTTGAAAGGCAGTGGGGCCTCCCAATTCCCATTTTCATCTTTCTTCATTTTGCTGTTCATGATCTCAACGAATTTCCTATCTTCTGTGGACATAGCCCTCTTCTCATCATCAGGGGTTATTTTGAATAACTCCGAATCTTGAATCTCAACATGATTTCTACAAACTTCAAACAACCTGCTTGGTCTTCCATTGGGTAAGATCTCCGTTCTACAAGTAGATATACCGTTTTTCTTATGTACACCATTTACACAAACTTCGCCAATCACCACCCAACCAAGATCTAAACGCTGTGCCCATGGCATGAAGTTCCCTTACTTTATGGTCCATATAATACTAAACATACATAATATGATAACAAATGTGTATACTATAATACTTAACCTAATAATATGACAACAAACGTAAATAATATCATACTAAACGTACATAATATAATAATAACGTCAATAGTATATTACTATATGTAAATAATAAAATAAACGTATGTAATATAATAATAATAATAATAAACGTACGTAATATATACTGAACGTACATAACATAATAATAAACGTATACAATATAATAATAAACGTACATCATGTAATAAGAAATGTCTGTAATATAGTAATAAACATGTATAATATAATAATAAACGTACATAATATACTAATAGACGTAAATAATATAATGATATAATATATAACGTACATAATATAATACAATACATACATAATATAACATGAACGTACATAATATAATAACAAACGTAAATAGTATAATACTAAACATATATAATAAAGTAACAAACCTATACAATATAATAATAAACGTACGTAATATAATAATAACGTAGGCCTATATTACTAAATTTAAATAATATAATAAACTTACGTAATATAATAATAACGTACATAATATAATACCAACTGTAAATAATATAACAATAAACATATTTAATATCGGCCCTAATACTAAACGTACATAATATAATAATAAACGTGTATAATATAATAATAAACCCATATAATATAATAATCATATATAATATAATAATAAACATAAATAATATAATAATAAACGTACATAATATACTAATAGGCATAAATATAATAATAAACATATATAATATAATGATAAATTTAAATAATATAATAATAAACGTAAATAATATAATAACAAACGTAAGTAATATAATAGGAAACATAAATAGCTGGGGCTTGCCATAGAGTTGGACCGCCGCTAATAATAGAGATTGTGTTTGTGACGTAAGCGATGCTATGGTCAGTCATGCGTTAAGCTAATTAATATTCAATTTTATATATTCAGTAATATTTGGCATTCTTGTCTGATCATTACATCGATGTAATAATTATGATAATTAACTAACTTTAAAACGCCAATTATTTTGTGTCGTAAAAATTAAGAAAACGTGCACTATTAAAAAGTCATTATCCAACACCGATACATTACCTCTACCGCATGTACTATATAACCTCTTGGCACAATACAACGTCATCGCTTCTCGGCCTTTTGGCTAAGATCATGTGTAGCTAATGTAGCTGTTTTTCTGCGAATTGTCGTATAATCGAGTATTGTATAGGAAAATGCGGAGGGTTGCGTCCCTCAGTTAGAGATATAAGGACAAGGTTGGAGTGGAGACGGTATTTGCTGATCTTCGGCGTGCAGGTCCTAAGTTGGAGGAGGTTGTTGGCGTTCAATCGTTGTCTGATGGTTCGTTTGATGTTTCCTTTAAGACTCCGGTGATTTGTCGTCGTGCGGCAGGTGAATTGGGAAGATTGGTGTCTGGTCCAGAGGTTCAGATAAATGATAGTAGGGTGACGGTGACGGTTTTGTATGTTGAGCTGGAAGTGCCAAATGAGGTGGTTGAGTGTGTTCTGTCGAAGTTTGGCAAGGTGCTAAATTCTAGAATGCTATCGCATCGTCAGTATCCTAGTATTTTGAATGGGAATAGGCAGTTTGTGTTGCAATTGAAGTCAGACATCCCGTCTCAGCTTCGTATTGGGTCCCGCAATTGTTGGGTGTCGTATTGGGGTCAGCCTCGTACGTGTTTGCGATGTGGTGATGAAGGCCATCTGATTCGGGAGTGTGTTAGAAGGAAGTGCAGCAAATGTTTGGAGCTGGGTCATGTTGTAGCTGACTGCAAGAATGACATCGTTTGCACAATATGTAATGGCTGTCTCTTATACACATCTACTTACCTTTCATGGCCACAAACATTCATACAATATAATTTTGGAATAATAGGCCTACATAGACTACAATATTTATTTAGATTCACTTCTATAAACTCTTGGGCGAACGACTTTAATACACTAATTCTGGATTATTTGGATATACTCTATACAATATTGATTTAGGTTCGCCTGTTCTTATCGAAATCTGCAACAATAGATCAGCAACCTGGGATCTGCATCTTGAGATGGAAGAAACTGTACACAATGTTAATTCAATTGAAAAAATCTTTATTTGTATTAAAAATATAATAAAATCTAAAAGAAATTGAACGCCATATAGGCCCGTAACCAGGTTCATGGGGAAGGAGGGGGAGTGGCATGACACGCGGAATGGGGGGTTTCCTATAGGCCAATTTGAACTCAAAAGTATTTCTTGAATGAAAAAAGTTATGATAAAATACAACTACAGTAATAAACTGATTAAAAAGAAGTGTTTCTTTAATGAAAGTTATAATACGACTACGTTAAACTGGTGGTCAAAAGGGGGTCCTACCAAACACCCATCCCCTAGTTACGGACGGGCATGTTGTGTAAAATAAATTATTATAAACAATATCAATTTCATTTATTAAAAACGTAAAGGAATTGCCTATACAAAGGATGTTCCTTTATTTAAAGGATGTTCCTTCAATTATTAATATTACTGTATTCATTAAGCGAAAAGTAAAACTGTAGCCTAGGGCTATATTTAATTTTTTTTAAATAAATTTTTGGCATAAAATGTGATATTTATATATTATTAACATGTTGCATGAACTTAATTAATTAAGAAACATGACCGGGCGCTACCGGGAGCTACCGGGCGCTATTTAGTAGGACCCTAACTACTAGTACTACCTAGCCTAGGCTTAAGGCCTAGCCTAGCTAGGACTCCAAGCGGAACCCCATCCTGGCCTACTTAGGTTAGGCACAAACTACTTTAAAAGTTGGACCCGTTTTAGGGGTCATCATTCATAACCATTAAGAATAACGAGAATAATTAAACTAGGCCTAGGCTGTCTGGGCCTAGGCCCTAGGCTAGGACTAGGTAGGCTAGGCCCTCCCTCTAGCCTAGCTAAGTCTAGGCCCTACCTAGGATAGCCTAGAAAATATTTTGTCATTGAATATCATGCAAATACCTTTCTTGGTGGGGGTTGCATCGTTTTAGACTGTATAGGCCCTAGATTCTAATTAAACAAAAACCGGACCACAGCCACCACAACAAAATCCAATGATCGATAAATTCCAAAGTTGAGCCCTAGCCAGGCTTAGGCCAACAGGGAACGCAGCCACAATATCAGGATCACACAACCCGCCACTAAATCGTCGTGTGACTGGTCAACTGCGTGAGAATGACAGCGACGACGTGTGTGTACGTGTGGTGTGATG